AAGGTGAGAGACACGTCCATGGGCTGCCTCCCACCTGGGACCCCTTGGGCTCGAACCTGCAGCCCAGGTACATGCCCTCGAACTTGATCGGGAATCGAGCCCGTGATCCTCGCTGTGTGGCCGACGCTCCGACCACTGAGCCGGGCGGGCCGGGCTCAGGCTTGTATCTTTTTATTAAATGTACTGATTTTCTCTGGAAACCACTGTCATTCCAGATTGGACACAAGAGTGTTGCCAAGATGTTTACTTCAGGTGCCAATAACCAACCGTTTTAATGAAGAAATAAACCGGGGTCTGATTCCTTCCCAAATTCAGTTGTAAAATCTCTTCGGGTAAAAGTCCCATGAAGAAGGCGCTGTGGGTGGTCTGTGGCCGTGGCTGCTACTGTCTGGTTCCCAAGGTAACGAGCGCATCTCCTGAAGGTGGGGGGTTCCCCTGAAGGTGGGGGTCCCCGTGGCTGCCGGAGAGGCTGGGTTCTCCCTGAGGACCCTCTAGCTCCGGGCCCTGGGCTGAGGACGGGCCACGCAGATGAAAACCCGCCACCGCGGCGCCACCCTCCTGAGGAAGCTTAATCCCTGCCTGCTTGGTTTTTGGGTATTTTCCCCACTTTTCATTGGAAAGTTTAAATGAACACAAAGGCAAGAACTGCCCGTGGGCACCTGCCCTCCACCAGCCAGGAGCGCACTCCCGCGGGTCTTGTCTGTTGTGCCGCCCGCCCGGCTTCCTCGCGGCCGGAGGCTGTTGGCTGGGACCCCGAGTCTGTCCTCTGAGGCTCAGGGACCCACGCGCCCTCCTGCCTGGCTGCCTGGCACCTTCCAGGGGCTCCGCAGCGCCTCCTGGCCCAGCGCCCGGGCGGGGCGACCATCCCGCACAGCCGAGCAGCAGGAGCAGGAACAAGGCTGCACAACAGACACAGGGACGCGCTCAGGGCGACACGTGGGCCGACCTGCTCCTCGATCCCAGGTGAGTCGGGGACTCAGGATGTGGCAACATTTTAATGCAAAGGCAAGGCAGCACCCCCTCTCCGCCTCCAACGTCAGACGGGAACGTGGGCCTCACGT